CATCGTGGTTCTAATGTTCATTCACAGGAAGAAATTTTTAGGCTGAGGTGTAAGTGTTTTGTAGGTCTATCCATCATAGTTGGACTTTGCTTCCACCCCCGCTGATTTTTGTGATGCTACTGTAAATCTAGCAGTAAGAAAGTTATCATCCTACATTGCTTTCTGGTTCATGTTTGGGGGCTTTCTTTCAGCTACCTCCACCTCCCATCCAAAGAGGTTTCCAGTCTCAGCACTGCATCTTGTCTCAGAAGTTTCTAACTCCCACACTTGAGTTCACAAGGACTTGATGCATGACTAATTTGAAAGTACAGGAAAATAGGATGAGAAGTTAAACTGAGAGAACACCAATTCCGAAGACAACTAACAGAGATGCAGGCATTCTTTGAGAACCAAGCTACTTCCAGCATGGGAAGTAGCTTAACACAGTTAGCAAAGCTTATCATGTTCAAGTCTGAGGACAGCAGTTTCTGCTTGGCATTCTTATGCTTTGGTCAAGACCTACCTTCCCATTCCCATTGCCTTAGTACAGTAGCGACTTAGAAACACATGCACCAAATGTGAATTTCAAACAAAATAGTGAAGTTGCTACAATCTATATAATGCCAGCAAATACTGCTGTTTGGATTTCAGTCATTATTACTTGCATATCCCCTACAGAAGTTCAAAGCAATTCAAGCACATACAAAGATAGACTACAAGAGCCTTTGGTCTAATAACCAAGATCTGTCAATTGAAGCCAACAAGAAGCTAGAATTTTCATTTTAAAAGAAGGAAGCAAAGCAAGCAACATTCCACAAAACAAGTATTCCACAGTTTCATTTTGAAGGATGTGAAATTTTTTTTTCCTGCAAATTTCTCTCCACACACACGCCCAGGCTTTTTATACTGCCTAGAGTTTTCTGGCACAAAAAATGTTCAGCAGTCCTCAGAGCCTCAGAAGCCTATCTCTGACACAACCTGTAACCTAGATACCCAAGGACTATATCAGCTATTGAGTTTTGTAGGTGGAAGACAAGATTCCAGCAACTTGGTTGTTTTCTTGGAGAAATACAGTGTTTATAACAGCTAACAAAAAAAAAATTTAAAAAAAAAAAAAAAA